AAGAACTAAATCATAATTAATTTACTGTATAACAATTAAATAAAATATTTAATACTTTTTTTTTTTGTTTGCCTAAGTCACAAGATAGTAAAAATTACCATGAAAATATTTTTTTCAATTTTTTTTTTTTTTTGGACCATTGTGCACTCGGATGGAAGAATTATGGATAGTGCAAGTTTTAAGAAGTTTTCTATTTTATGAATTTTGGTAGAGAGAAAAATATAATGCGGTTGGAAGGTTTGTGAGAGATGTTGGAAGAATATGTTAACTTTTTCTGAGTCTTTATTAGCCTATTAACCGTCTAATTTTTTCAGATGAGAAACTGGAGATTGAGTGCGAAGAACTTTTCTAGTGTTTTTCTAAAGAGAGTTATCGCTAGCATATAGTGCTGTTAAGTCGTGTGCGCATTTTTTCCAATCTGATTGATGCAAGAGCTTTTTAAGTTTATTGAATTAGTTGCTAAAGGTATTAGCGTTTATGAGATGGGTATTTCGACATTAGCCAAATAGCTCGAGCACGCCGATTTTTAGTAATTAGAGATAAAACGTGCAAAAGAAGATTTGTTTGGAAGATTTTTTGGGGGGGCAGGCGAAGGAAAGGACCAAGCTTTTTCTTATATTGATATTGTAAGAGTGTTTACTGGTTCATCTATATTATTAGGAGATTTAAGGCTGATCTTCAAATTAATTTGATAACTTAAGGATGGTTTGAATATTTTCCAGTCAATTCGACCTCGGATAAGACTGGGTTTGTTTGGTTTATAAAGAGACGTCGAATAAATTATAAGAAGTATTTGAGAATTATCAACATCATGGGCAGTACCATCCGGGTGTTGTGTTTTGTTGATTTTTAAAAATTATGATTTTAAAAAATTAATTTAATTTTGTCGTAATAGTAATATGAGTTTCAGAAATTAAAGCAATGCTATTATTTTGATTTGTAATATTTCTTAATCATTCATTTCTGTGATTGTTAAGGCCGTTAGAATACCAAGTTAGAATAAAGAGAGAATAAGTGGTTAGATTATTATTTATAATTTTTTTGTGTTGATTATGGCTGTGAAAAACAATGGTGAGAAGAGATTAGAGAGGATTTATGATGACTTTAAATTCGTCAAGAAAATTAAGGTTTAGAAGATCATTGGTGTTAGTGGAAGTTGGATCTGAGTTAGGATGGTGACCCTTAATAGCTTTAACATACGTACGTTGAAATGTGTGACACCCACTTGATTGTTGGTTGTGATGGGTAGCGTTGTCGTTAAAGATTTGATTCGATGAGTGGATTTCTTGAGGTGCTCTGCTTTGATACTTGTGCTGCTTTTGGATGAGTTTCTTGTGTATGGTACATCCTTTATAATTAGCCTCCTTCGCATAGGGCACATTTTTACGGGAGAACAGAAGGTTTATTACATGTTGAGGTTGGATGATTTTCACCACATTCGACACATTTTAGAGAATGGGCACATTAGGATCTAATATCACCATACTTGGATTTTTTGTAGGGTTTTTCTATTTTGACTATTGTATGTAGCAATAAGGTTACAGAGACGATTTTTGCATTGTTAGAGTCAGGCTCAAGGTCCACAAATAATAGAGGCAAAGCCTTTTTGGTTTGAAAGTGTAATATATTTGTTATATTTTTAACAGTATGTTCTATTTAATCAATCGCATAGGATATACTCGTATCTTCCACCAGAGTAGACGAATGAATATTTTTAATGACTATTCTGAAAGGCTTATCCGGATTTAAATAGCTGTGATATTGTGACTTAATATTTTTCAGATAAGTTATTAGTACTCTAGTGGTATTCGAAATTGACTAAGCCTCTAAATGTGAGTATTATGTCGACTGCCGAAAACGTCATTGTCTCAAGTTATCTGTTCATTATCTTCAAAGACATAGCGATCGGGAGTGATAAATTGTATAGATTTATTTAAGTTAATTGTTAATGGTGTATACGGTGGAGAGGAGGAAGTCGATGATAGTGCTGATAGTGTTTTTTTTTTTTTAGATTGCGTGTTTATATTGTTGACGATTTTATTATTTATGATTTTAATTGGCAAAACAGTTTTATCGGGTGGCATTGCGCCGTTTTATTATTAAAGTCTAAAGATCATCGTAATTTTTAGAGCCTAGGAGTTGGTTTGGTTTAAATTGGTTATAATAGTTATAATTTTAATTGATATGGATATATTTACTATTCGTTGTTTCTTAGATTTTTTCTGGGATGGTTGATCCAGTACAGTCGATTGGAGAAATAAGTCACTAAAAATTAAGAGCCGTGTCGATTGTTATCAAAAATATCTAATTCCGTTAAGAATTAAAAACATTAGATTGTTAATAAAACCGGAGCGACACATTTAGGTGTGCCATAAGCAACGTTGCGATGGCGAGTGATGATTTCTACGAACGATTTAAAAATATTTCTGTTTGTACATTCTACTTTAAGACGTTTATGCTGATGTATTTTACTATTGGAATATCTTATTTTCACTCCTATTTTGTTAAAACCGTTTTTATGAAAATAAAACTACGACCCAACATTTTCATATAATATATAAATATAATAATAAATAATATATATATATATTATAAATATAATTTATTAAAAATATCCAAATTATTATTTGTAGATTTTTCAGTTTTTTTATAACAATATTAAACTTATAACAGTTGTAAAATTTATTTCAAATATTAAGACAGAAACGAAATTATGTACGATAAATCCAATATTTTTAATTTAATATATAGAAAAAGATTTATTTCACAATTTAGTGGTTATATTTTTTTTAAAAAGTACACGTTAACAATTTATATATTTAGCAAAATGTTGTGCTCCGTACCAAATAAATCGATTTTTTAATACATTTATTTAGTTTTTTTTCTAATTATAATAAGAAATTACTTCACCATAGCTTACTAAACAATTACCATCCCTACATCCACTAGCTCGTATTTAAGATTTTGTTCAAGGATAACAATAATTATAGTAATTGTAATAAGTTTTGTCAAGTCATTATAATTTATAAATGCTATAATTTTTAATAAATTTGGTTTTATAAGCTTCAAATCTTTCAAGATACAAATCTATGTCATAATCATAAATAGTATTCTTTGCATTTTACATTTTGAAACACAACTTTCTAGAGCCTTCTATATTTTATGTACTAAACATACATATGCCTGTGTAGATAGTGTGTAAATAAGATTACATTAAAAAATATGCTTTAATTAATGGAAAATGAACTATTATATAAATTTTTAGCGAATTAGAAATAATTAATTTAAACCCGTAAATCCTATTAGGCTTTTTTAAGTGCTCAAATACATTAACGAATTTTCGCACATAAATACAACAACGTCTAGAGCAATGGTTTTGAGATGACATAATTTACACACACACACATATATTTATAATGCTGACCTGTTTATGGATAACAAACGGATATACATTGTCGAGGCAGTAGAACTTTATTCTTTTCAGACAATGAAAGTTATGCCACAAAAAGAATTCTCATGAATAATTTATTGTATGTATAAACGAAAGTAAGAACTTAAAACCTTTGTATGGAAAATTTTAGGCTACTTACACTTAAACCTTTTATATTTGTATATTATTATTTCAATTTTAACTTATTACACTTATGTATTAAACATCAGATGATTAACATTTAACAAATGACTTATTGCAAAGAAAAAAAATTATTCAAACTCTGAGAAAAATTACCATAAAAAAATAAATATTTTCTTCATACCTTAATGTTATACATCTACGGTTTTGCTCATTTTGTTTACTGAATTGGTTTACATTACATTGAACTATATTCAAAACTGTACCAATAACACCTATTAGTTATACACAAAACCGTTTTGACTATGCAGGGGCCCTTTTAGATGCAAGTCCGATTATTATTACACATTACCTGATAATTTCCAAATTATAACAAATGTTTACAATTCGAAACGATATTTTTAGATTTACTTCTTTGTTCAAAAATATATCAATAATATTATTTTATCATCGAAATATAATAATAAATATCCTTATAACCGTCTGTTACTGTACCTACGTCGATAATTTGTTAATCAAATTTATCGCTAAAAAAGTAATCGTCTTATTTATAGCATTTGAAATTTGAGTTAAATATTATTTTTTATTTTAAATTACAACTTATTATTTAGGTCTGACAGTAAAATATTTAGTTAAGATAGGTTGCACTAATATTTTAAAACGTTAATATGTAAATTATACTTCTCAGAGTCTCCGTCAATCAAGGTTCCTCGGCTCATGCCCTACATGCTCTTAGGGTAAAGACGGCATTTACTACACGTAGATATTTTTAAAAAGTAAAATATTTTTATTTTTTTTTATATCAAACGGTCTATCTTAAATAATAATTTTTTTTTTTTAGTATTTAATTATCAAAATAATTTATAAAGATACACAATTTAAATTTAATAAAAACATTATTTCTTGTAAAAGAAATGATTTATCTTCATACAACATAGTGATTCACTTTAGTAGACAATAAAGCTTAGAATTATTCAACGAACACAAATTTATACAATAAAATATACTTACACAATCACATTTAATTTAAATGTGTTGTACAATACTATACCAGATTAAGTTTAATCATAATAATGTTTTGTAAAAATAACAGAATATCGATCTATTTTAGAGCGAAAAAATGGTGGCATAGACATGTGTTTTTTTTCTACCCCTGAGTTTAATTAAATTAAAATCTCGTGTATGTACGAAAATAGTATATTTTGTCTAGTTACATTATTTTTTATATATATTAAATATATATATATGTAATTTTGAACTAAAACTCAAAACACGTTATTTGTAACGAAAAAAAAAAAAGTGTTTAATGAATGAGCAAATAATAGAAACCACAGAACGAAGTACTTTTTTTTTCTCGAATAATTTATACGAAATGTAATATATAGTATAACACATAATAATAGTGTGTGCACAATACTATAATACTTACTTCAACAAAGTCTCCATGTTCTTGTCCGCTTGCGGTAAAACTCAAGTGACACAAAAACGGTCTTTCTTTTTGTAATTTCTTCACGCTCAGTCTATACGAATTTCCCACTTCGCCGTAATATGTTCTATTGCACGCTGCAATATAATATTTCACATGTATATAATGTTTCAATGGTTAGGTTAACTATATATATATAACTATTGAACAGACACTTAGACGTAGAGGTACGTTATATATAATACATTTTAGGTAGGAGGATTGGAAGTTGCATGCGGGTGATACGTACCTAAAATGAGTATTATACGATATGCATCAACAGAGCTCGCAAGTGCCACGGACGCATGTATTCAATTTTTTACTCTCATCCCCTCATAATAATTATCACTAATTAGGCGAGAAACGAAAAACTTATGTGTGTAAATTAATTATACCAAGGTTGTCGGAATTCGTGGTTTAAGCTAAAATTTCAATTCTAAATAGCGTGTTTGTTGTACTAAAAAACATAAAAGAAATAAAAATGTGATATATATATATATATGTATCATATATACACATAAATAATTTATATGTATACATACACGAAAGGGATTACGGGTGTGTTTTTAAGACTAGGGTGAGTCAAAAATACTAATTAGAGTGAAAGAGTGGTAGGCGCCAGTCGCATAAGAGTACTTCTGCTTGTGTTCATTCTATACCATATACATATGAATGTATTATATATATATATTATACTGTGAATAGTAGTGAGAAAAAAATGTAGACACAGAAATAAGATTGATGGGTGTTTACACTCGGCAAAGCTTTATAGTAATCTCAAGAGCACTTTTTATCAAAAACAGAGCCTTTTTCTTCTTTTCGGCTTATATAGGTAAGTTAGGTTTTTCTTTTCATTTTTTATAAAAATCTCCCTTGTTATGTAGGTATTTCCATAATACTAAGTGTCATATACTAAACACTTGTAGAGCCGTGATATTTTACCCACATTATTCTGTATAGCGTATAAACATGCATCTTTACTCGTTGGCTGGTAATACCACAATGTCAACGTATCATGTAATAACTGTTTTTAGTTAAGTAATTACTTTAAAACAAGATTTTATTAACCAATGACCGTTTTAATAAAAATTCATTACTAATTAAGGATTTTTTTTTATTGCTAGATGTTAGTTATTCACAATAGACAATTCGTCTATTTATTTTATTTATTTCTGTTTTAATTCAACCAATACTTTATGTTTCATTAAGATTTAAAAGAAAACCCGAGTGAAACTATCAGGGGTGTATTTAGACTTACTTCTGGGGGGGGACTCAAATTTTTTCTTTAATTCAGGCTTGAAATTTACAAGTAAAATTTTTGGTAATATTTATATTAGGTGAATCCTTAATATTTCTGTTTTTTTTTTTTTAATCTAATGCCGGATCCACTTAAAATGGTCTTTTAAGTAGTTCTTTTTTAACACCTATCTGTGTATCGAAAGTTTCCCTTGTATTTTATTTAATTTTTCACTAAATATGGACTGGGTCTTCAATCAAAATAATATATATTATTTATCGTTATGGGACACATAAACGTTATAAGCAATCGAGCGTTTAAACGTTATATAAATATAAACGTTTAAAAAAATTTCCGTTTACCGTTATTGACAATTAAAACGTTATGAAAAATTTAGCGTTTTACGTTATTTAAATAAGTGTAAAATTTGAAATGTTTTTAAATGTAGTAATACTATAAAAAAAATCATAATTTTTGTTTCTTAATAAAATACACATTACTTATATAAAAATTGTCTTGGTCTAAAAATTCTCGGGGGGGGGGGGGGGGGTTACCCCCGTCCCCCCCTTAAATACGCCACTAGAAACTATGAACTATATTATAACAACAATTTTTTTCAAACGCACACCTCTTTGTAGAAGGAAAATTGCGTCGCCCGACGTTTATAAGAAAAGTAATAAACAATTTATACATTTTTACAGCTCTCCTTTCGTACAATTAAATGCATAAGGAATAAAATATAACGGACCGGACCGCATCGTAAATCTTGAATTTTCCAACTTGATCAATTTTATAGTGATATCTATTGCAAATGGTTATTAGTCTCGTTAATTCAGTAGATATCACGGAACTTTAATCCCGCGCAATGCACGTCGTTTTTAAAACTTTAATATTATTTGAAGTATTTGCTAAGAATTTTTTTTTTTTCAATCGAAACCGCGTTTGAATAGTACGCTTAAAAGTATGACAATTGTCATTTAAAATACAGTTTGCACGCACAATCGTCAATCGTACTACAACGCCTATACAAGTATTTACGTTTGGAAATCAAATCATGCTGCGCAAGGGGAAAAAACAAAAAATAAAATTATTTAAACGCACGTGATATCGACACCCGGATCGTAGGAGTATGTATTTTTTTATTCGAAAATCGCTTTATATCACTCAGTCATCGTATATGAGTAAATGTGTGAGTAGACAATGTACAAGTATTCGGTATATACATTTATTATACGATATACGTACGTATATACACGCACATTGACATTGGCAAAGAGGTACTTCAAATGCTAAATCGTTTCTGAGTTTTCCAAGACGAGGGTTGGGTTATGGTGGTGAGTCATGATACGGATTGTCGTAAAAGAATATATATCCCGTTTTTCACGGTTTTTTTGGCGAAGACAGGGTGACAATTTGTTTAAATGCTATAACTTTTTAGTCTTGCTTCTTGGATGCGCCTGCTGATTTGTACGTCTATCACGCCATTGCGGTTGTATGTACGCAGACACGCAAAATCAGCGATTGGAAAAATAATATATATGATACTGTTTTATTAAAAATTGTTGATGTAATGATTGTCGGATGTTTTAGTATTCTGTAGAACTTAATAAAGTCAGCAATCACACGGCCATACAAATCATGCATTATATAACATAACCTCTATATTGCATACAAATTGATTGTTCAGGTAGACTCACTAACTTTCTTTGATTTTCAATATTCTGATCCTATCAGTGGCGTATCCAGGATTCAATTAACGAAGGTGTTGTAAAATTGAATAGACTAGTACTCGTGTAGGGCAAATTATATTGTAAGTTTGCAATTTGTTGAAATACCATAAAATACGGTCGATTGGGTTGTATTCTAACACCCATATCACTCCTCTCCCTAAATACGCCCCTGGATCCTATTGAACTGCGAGCATATATTTTGTACAGGGTTACGTTTACGTGCAGTTTTATCTGTAATGGCAGTTCTCAGACGAATAATCACGGTATACGTAAATGTTAGATTTCAATATAAATGCGCAAATTTTTATTCTTATCCGATAAAGCAATGACCGTGCAACAAACAATCGCATGCACTGTCCCGATCGAACAGGTGATGAATTCTCGAATAGTTTAACGTATACCGACTACAATGCATGACGGTTACTTGAACACGGAACAAAAACGAGTTATCTACTCTCTGTATTTATTTCGAGAAATATAAAAAACATTTATTTCCGATGAGGTTTTCCGACTTTTCGTCCGTATCGTTGTTTGCGATCTCTCGGCGTATAAATGAGATGATTTTAATCAATATTCTTCAATCGACGTGAATTCCCGATGGTCTCCGGAAGACGCGTCTCTGTGAATATTGCTGGTTAAAATATCCTACTACAAACGTTTTGACGACGAATCGATGTAATCGAATTTCACGCATAGCAATGAAAAAATAATTGATGCGTTGTAAGCACAGTACAATAAAATGGAGAGCTCATACGAAATGCTTTATAGAGTACACAAACACAACTATATTCCATACGTGTACATTGTATGCAGGGACGTGATCCGGCATTTATATCGGAGTTGTCGGTCGCTGCAGCAGTTATTCAAATCTCACGGGCGAGCAGTAGAGTTATTATAATGCGTTTCGATTTAATTCAATATTTGTTAAACGAAAATTATGTGCGCGTCGTGTTGTATATGTCGTAGACATATAGTCAAATCATACTGTCTATAGGGTATATAGTATACTCATACTATCATTTACGTCAGAGGCGGCCAAACTTTTTTTCGGCCACGATATACTAAAAATATACTTCACCTTTGAAGATCGACTTTCTTGGAAAATTTTTTTTTATAAACCAGAATTAAAGATAAAAACTATACGGATAAAATTTATCGAAAATTTGTTCATAACCACCACGATTAATTTTCGAGCACGTAGCCTAAGAATAAATTCTAACATGATCGACTCTGAAATCGTCCGCGATCGACCGTTTGGCCGCTCCTGATCTACGTCTATCACATCTAATTAGTTATTACCTGTATATATTTATGATTTTATTTTTAAAACATTAGTAATAATGAACATGAAATTAAACATATTATTTCATATATCAACGTGTTTTACATAATACATTGCTTATTTATTTATAAAATATCAATAAATAACTGATAGAAAATATATTTAAATTTTTAAAATAATACACAATGTTTTTTTATTATTTGCCTGACATGAAATAGGCATTTAATCATATTCTTAGTAATTTAATTAAATTACTAGGCATTAAACTTTATTTGATTTGACTATATGCCTATGACATATATACTACGTCGAAAAATTGAATTTCGGGACAGCGGGGATCGCGAGACTTTGCGGAACCCCCGTAGCACTGTTACGAAGCGTCTGTACGTCATGTGTTAATTCGCATCGACGAAAAGTGGTTTTTCTCCAATGCCCTCCGCCTCTCTTTCCTTTGCGTTATATTTTGCGTCAAATTCGATTACGATGGATCGAACGAAATGACTACAACAATAATTGAAACAACATCTCGCCGCCACCCTCGAGCAGTACATACATAATATAATAACAATAGTAATAAAATATCGTAAAAAAAAAAAAAATGGAAAGTTCACGTACACGTAGCGAGGGTTGAAGTAAGAGAGAAGAGGTGGAAGGGGGTTAACAGTGCCCGGACCAATAAAACAAAAATATTAGTCTTTTCACGTTAAAAACTGCGTGCACGGGGTACAATGAGGCGCGCACACATCCGCTTCATCGTTATGCGTACCTGTGCAGTACAGTGGCTCGTCGGACCTGTCGGGACAGTCGTACTTGCCGTCACAGTACTCGTCCAGCCGCACGCATCCGCCGTTCGACTTGCACATGAACTCGGATATGCGACAGCACAGCGTCAGCCTGGCGGTGCAGATCAATAGTGCGGCCGCCAATCCGCCTATCGCCGCGGTGCTACTGGCCGCCATGCCTGCGGCTACCGGTGCTCCGTAGCCGCGCTCTTACGTCGGCGCTACTGTTGATGCTGCTGATGCTGCTGCCGACGCCGACGGTGATCGAACACGCTGTATACCTGCATCCGACAAAACAAACAAACGTGTTCGGGATCAAGTGAGACGCGGTGTAACGCCCGATCAAGGGCGGCTCCAGGGGGGGGGCTAGGGGCCGCACCCCAAAGCCCGTGCCGTATTTATAAAAAAAATTTGTATTGTTAACAAAAAATGCATATTATAATATGGACTATTATACGACACGCACAAGTATGTAGATAGAGCCATAGATATTCTAGATCAAATAGATCGTATTATTGATATTTTTGCCAATTTTAAAAATGAACGACTTGAATTTATGCTGTAAAAATTGTTGTTTTCTTTTTGTTATAAAATTTTGTAAGATTATAACTTACCCCCTTCACCCTCTAACCAAGGCTCTGGAGCCGCCCCTGCGCCCGATCTCCTTTCGAGTTTGTATGATATGCGAGTAGAGACAGAGTGCAAAGTGCACGGACGTGAAAAACTTCGTCTAAACTAGTATAACATTACTTATACCATTGTTGTTGTAACACTGATGGTCACGACATGTATTATTTTTTCAACCCGATGTTGGCAAACCGTGTGTTCGTCACTCGAAACGACAACTGTGTTGTTATCTGCTCATCGTGCGCCAATATACAATAGGATTCGTTCGAAACGGGTTAAAAACGTAATACGTTACACGTTTACTCCTACGCGTTCAAAACCGACAAGATAAAAACCACATTTTCTTCCCCGTTTCTAATACCATAATGTCTAACCTAACCGGTAAGATACATTGCAATGTAATGTATTGCTCAGTGTAGTTGCGAAATGCTTCTGGATCCACGTGCACCAACGTTGTTGAATGATGTTCGAAAAGTGTTTTTTACTTTATTTCTTTCGTATTATACGTGCACAACATCCATACAATACGTCGTACGTGTTACGATTAAGACCCCGATCAGGTACATCTGACTCGTCTACACGAACGTAATAACCACCGCATACGCTCGTAACCTAGCGTATATTAATTGAACTCGTCCGTTCGGCTAACACCATGTATTCCGATCGGAAGTGTTACAATAACAACGGTACAACAATACTGATTTCAGCGAAGGGTATACTTGATACACTCTCCGCGTATACCAGCGACCCGGCTTTTACACGACACATGTGCGAGTACAGAATGCGTGGATACCGTGATGGGACGAACGTTGCACAGGTGTCAAAACGCGCGTTTGTCATCGCGATAAAGGGATTGTTATTATTAATGGCACCGCGGGAAATTCGGGATACCACTCGCAACTATATGCGTGCGCGCCTCCCTGCCGCGAGATACAATACACGCACAATATGTACGTACACACACACATATATATGTATATATACGTTCACTGTATATATGTATATATATTATACTCCGTAATAGCGTTTTATGTATACAATATGTACGTATTATGTGTCGAAGGACAGTGCGGCGCCGGAGCCGAACCGATGATGGGGGAGAAGCGCGGCGACGGAGGTGATGAAAAAAAACGATTGTAAATTGGCTGTTCCACCCCCGTCGCCAACCGCCAAAAGACGATTTCGGAGTCTTGGAAAGACGAGAACACGACACATGTTCTCGTGCGTTAGTGTGTGTATGTGTGTGTGTGTAAAATTGTCGTAGCGCAAAGTAGCGTGCGAGTGCGGTGTGCTCATTCGAGAGAAACCCTCGTCGCCATACACAGCGTTTGACCCATATATTCCGGGCACGCGCTCGACTCGGCGTTAGGCTCCACACACATACACATGCTACAAGCACACACACGTACATAACAACCCTTATTCTTCACCCCACCACAGTACCGCACCTGGACCCACTGGTGTTTTGTGTATATACGACTACAACGTGGGCGGAAGGAACACGAAAATCTGCTGACTGTTCGTGTCATCCTTTCATATTTTTTATTTTCACTAAACGCCCCCTCACTCGCGGTTGTAAAAATAATATATATATTTGTGCGTGTGTACGCGCGCGTAAGGGACGGTGACGTGTTATATCGCTGTTTATGACGACGTCCCCGCCGCGATCGTTATCACGTTCTAGGGAAACACGCGCTCGGATGTACGCGTCACGTATTTAAGGGATCTCGTCCTCGCGCTGATTACGCAGAACACGTTATACCCCTACTGAAGTTACGCACAATTTTACCACGATACATATCTAGGTATCCAGCAACTAGATTTTTTTTTACACGCTTTGCACGAATAAATTATGTCATTGTAATACTAGCTCCCACTCATCTTCACCGTCTATTTTTTATTTTTTATTTATTTTTTCTCCTATTCTTTCTGTCCCTCATTTTCTCGCCAATTAGACGTAACGATTTACTGTTGTCGTCATCAGCCACAATAATTGATCCGATTCGACAACGATATCTGCGGAAATTAGGACCTCGCGTAAAAACCCAAGTACATATATGATACATAGCACGCGTGACCGACAATACGTTCGCATTGAAACTTTATAAGTATCGCACAAAATATGACACTCTATTGTTGCGAGAAAGCGCCAATTTCCCGACGGAATAATCGAAAACGCGGTCGTATTGTTGTTATCACCATCACCGCACCCGTTAAACGCGTCTATATGAATACACATTCACACAATCGTCGATTTGATACACCCAATAATGTTAATAATAATAATATTATGTGTGATCGGATAGATCATGTAACGTATTATTGTGTAGTTATAAACGTTATAATTTTTATACGTGTAATACGCGTACTGGTAGCTGCAGTTTTTCGGATCTGAATGCCGAAGAAAAAATGAGGTCACCTTTGTCGATTGTAATATTAGTGCGCACTGATCAGCTGCACGTACGCGTGTAAAAGTCCGAAATAAATAAAAATCGAAAACAATAAAAATAATTGTGGTTATATCTTACACCACTTATTATCATATTTTGTATCATCTAAAACAGCGATTCTCAAATCGAGGGTCGCCAATTTATAAAACAACTGGTAAGTTGTTTTTTAAATATCTTCAGGATTATCATTGTTGAAAATTACAATTAATAAAACTTAAATATAATCAATAAAAACGTTATATTAATCATACTAATCATTTTAATTTATCACTGCTTCTTATTATTGTCATAATAAAAAGGGTCGCTCAAAATCTTGGTTACATTATAGGGGATCCCGGCTTCGGCAAAATCGAGAATCGCTGGTCTAGATACGAAACCGTTACAATACGGTATAATACTGCGGTATACGTACCCGTGGATAGTAAATATGATGATGTTGATGTGACCGTAGACACGCATACAACATGTGTACGACGGAATCGCGTGTTCTCATCCCTTAATGATTATACTCATCGGTGATGGCGTACTCGTTACCAATTCTAGATGCGTAGGGACAAGAGGAGGAAGAGGAGGAGGAGGAGGAGGAGGAGGCGGCGGCCGCCAGATCAACAAGGTCTATGTGTCCCGGTTGCGAACGACGAGCGGAAAAACGACCGTAGTGACGGTGACGAAGCGATGACGGCGCTGCTGCAAGTGCCGACGAACGCGGCCGCGGTCTAGGGCAGTGATTTCGAACATGACGGCGACACACGTGTAACGGTCACGGGTCGAATGGCACTGCTGCTGCCGGCGGCAGTGGCTGCGGCGGCGGCGGCGTCGGCGGTCGAATTGTGGGGATTTTCCGCGGCGCGACCTGGGAAAATGACGACCGTTTGTGCGCGCCCACCGCGCCGCTGCCGCCGACGTATTTTCGATCCCGTCCGCCGAAGCGGCCGCCACCGCCTATGCCACCGCGCCAACGGCACAGCCTCGAAATGTTTCCGAAAAATCCGTCTACTCGTCCTCTTACCCCCGCCGCAGCCGGTATACAATCCATCCCGTTCGTATGGCGTTATTATGCGCTTACAAGTGAACGGTTATTCCACATGACTGTAAATCATGTCGTCTCTAAACTGTGTGCGATTTATAAAATTATACACCACACCTATCGCGTTGGATATTGTATTTATTTATTTTTCTTTTCATCCCCGTATAACGTATAATGATATGATCCGATTACTGCGGCTGGTGTGCGCGTAACGATAATCCACGTATAAGCGTGTTGAGTTGCCGTATTCGCATGACGTTTAAAAAACTTGCTAAAAATATTCAATACATATATCAATACATATTATGTTTAGCGCGTGACAATTTATTATCAAATATCATTGGAAACGGTACGTGGATTGTATCGCACTAGAATAATGTTTCCATAATATTTTGTAGAACCAAGAGTACCGGTATAATATTATTATATTATAGGCGTGACGCGCAGCCATGTGTGCGCGAGATTCGAAAAATGTAAAAATGTTGTTATGACAGTATTCGTTTAACTTGTAATGTTTTTCCTTCTACTATGTGTTACAATATCAACGGCTTTACAATATTTCGAGTTATACGAATAGGTGGCAATGCCTGAGCGAGCAAGTAAGAGCATCGACCGTTCTAGGAAGTCGGTGGCGGTCGATAAAAAAGTAGGTAATATCTATTTCTCCATTGTTCCATAACGAGATCCAGGTTTTTGGAAGATTACGACTTTTGAATGTTAAATAATGTTAAAAATATGTGTAAATCCGTATTTGAGCACTTGCAATAATAATTCAGAATTTCCGAATGTAATCAAAGGAATCATAAATCGCTTTCCAAAAATCAAATATACTTCGTCAATTGAACATTGGCCTGGTGCAGTATTAATAAATGGGCCGGCAGGGTTCTAGAAATATCGTTTTAATTATACCTACTACGGTTAATTCACAAAATATATACAACAGCTTTTTCTCTTTCTAACTATTTGTTTATACAACTTAATCAATCACAAACGATTAAAACTCTTTCATTATTGTCTGGGAATAAAATATATAATAGACAATCGTAACATTTAATCTCAAAAAAAATTTAAATCAGAGCTTATAAATGTAAATAGTGCATAAGATTAGTTGCACATTATACGTAAATTTTACATATAATATATATATATGATTGTATATTATACATTCTTAAAAACAACTAAAGTATCATATTCGTGAGATCGTTTTTTGTTGGCAAGCACAAAGTATATTACAAACTGTAGTATTAGTGCGTGTGTATACGTAATTGCACAGCATACATGCGTGTACGTATGATGTATTATTGTAACAAAAATATGTAAATAATAGTAATAAAAAAAAATGTTTCAAAAGTTCTACCAGTTTTTGAATTTACAAGTTTCGTTATACCCCTTTCCTATGCTCTACCGACATCACCCCATCTCGGTTTTCTTTTCATCTTCAAACTTCCGCTACTGCACGTTTTATCAAAATTTCGAAAATGATTACTTTATTCGCTCCGTCGCCATCGGTATTTCTGTAAATTGTATTCGTACCGAAATTGTTCGAGGAGAAACTGTCATTAAGATCTCGGCGTATTTGCTCATTGTATTATATAGATGGACAGGCCTTTCGATTTTTCTTTTTCTTTTTTTTTGGTATATAGTATTTATTTTCATATAATACCCATGAGTATCGATCTGGACTGATAAAAGTTTAATCCCATTAACGAAACAATAATAATTAAAGCTCTTGTATTATACTGTACGGTTAACGTTAATAGTAATAATAATATGTAAGATTTTCTTCAATATTCTATACGACTGCGTAATCCTGAACACATATTGCTCTTCAATCCGCTATTCGCGTCCGTCATGTTTATATATATCGTGTGCGCGTTTACACATAACAGTTCAAACACATCGAGCGTTATGTTGTTGAGAGTTTACATTTTGCTTTATACGCGAATAAGCTTCTATATTTGTACGCTTCACGTACTATACACAAATCTATCTACCTAAAGTCTCCATGTATACTAATATACACACGCGTAAGAAAATGTAGTGAGTGTGTAGGCGTGTACTTATAAATTAGTGAAAATAATTTTTCGTTAGTTTTGTAATTAAAAAATCCTACTGTTTTTAGTGTATCATTTCGAGAAAGAGAGAAGTAACCAGGAGGAAGAAAACAATTTAAAGTTGAAGTTGAGATACCAGGATGAAAGATGTAACGAAGTTAAAAAATAGATACCATCCATTAATTGTATGTATTACCACCCACTCTCTATTTTTATCTATTGAAATAATTTAGTATTAAATATTAAAATATTATTAAATCATTTGAAAGGTATTTTATTTCTACTGAATTCTTCTTATTAATAATTTGAAAGAAACTAAATTTATTAATAAGCTACGGAAACTATAAGAACTGAAGCACAAAATTAAATATAAAAAATGTTTGAAGCCAACGTTATATTTTACGAACAGTTTTATTAATATTGATTTATAATAACAATAATGCAGGACAAATAATTTTAAGAAAATCATTTAAACTATCATCGATGATTTCCACAATACAGTAAATTTTGTTTATATATCACATTTTATAGAAGTATTTCATTGGTGTTCATTATTTTGTATTATATGCATCTACACATATTTTATACCCCATATTTATTTATATATATATATATAATTGTATATGTTATATTTATTCAGGAAAATATGAATATTTTATAATTTCATTCACGTTTTAAAACAAATACTCAACTATTTTTTAAGTTTCCTACTTCACTTTATAGTCAACTTTATGAAATCTATAAATCAAATTAACAACTAATTTTTTTACCGCTTCATATAATTCACTAATTATACAGAATACGAATAAAATAAATGTTTAGAAGACTTCTTCCATTTTCATAAATAACAAAGTTAGGAAATTGTGTGACACTTCAAAATAAAAGAAGAAAAACATTACTGACAAAATAATATCATACTAGATCAGTTATGTAAGCATTTTTGGTTATTATATTTACGAAAGTACTTATATATATAACTTTTATTTAAGTACAGTATACTCTCAGTAATGCAACCATTTGATAACCTGTCCGTCCAGTAATCCGGTAGTATTTTATTTTAAAATGTTTTTTTAAAAGCATAATTTGAAAAAAAAAACAAAAACAAATTGATAATTTTGTTTTTAAACCTATACCATTCAAATATTAATTCACATTATATCCTATATTATTATGTATGTATGTATATATTATTATTATACATTTTAAGAAAATAAATTAAAGTTTTTCAATAAGTAAAAATTCGTTTTTATATAAAACTTCATTAATCCAGCAGTTTTCTGATCTAATATCTGTCCGATTATCAAGAATCTACTGTACATTTTATTTAAATTAATATAATTATTATTTCTGGTTTGCTATTTATGCATATTATATAGGATATACTATTTATTACATTATAATTTTAAATGATAAATAGAAATATTAATTAAAATAAAAAATTATAATATTTTAAATTTCAAAGTATATTGATTTTTATAAAATTATAGAATATTCTGTAACTAGATAAAAACACAAATTAAACACAAGAGTGGAAATTATTTAAATATCTACTACATAAACTATGCATGTCAACATTTTATTATTTAATATGAGGTTAATATTTGATTTTTATCACTCCAAGCTTTGAAGTATTCAAAATTAAATTAAGTTTTTTAATTTTTGAACTCTTTCTTACTATAGATAGTGTTTTACTTTATAAATGGCAGAAATATATTTCTTCGAACAAGCGAGGATATTATTTATCGAACTTGTATACCCTATAGCAAGAATGGGCAACTCAAAGTTACTGGAGGACCAATTTTTATAAAATTAAAATCCAGCGGGCCAAAGCATAGGAAAAAAAGGTCATTCAAAATATGAATTTTAATTAGCATTTATATACACCGAAATAATAAATAAAACACACACACAACACACAAGTTTCTGAAGAAACTGATATACTTAGTTAAATAGTTCGGTATTAACAGTTATACAGCCCGCGGGCCCTTAGTTGCCCACTCCTGCTCTATAGCATATACCATTGTTTATTTATGAATATGCATTTTCACAGTTATTTATTTTTAAATAAACTGCAAAACATAATATAAGTTATTAGTGATTATTAGTAGTTATTAGACTAGGGCACAGATGTCGTAGTAGGAAAAAATTAGTAAAGTTGAATGCAGTATTGCACTAAAAAAATAACGTTTCGTTATAATTCATAAAATTACGTTAATTTTATCTGTCATTAACTTATTGTAATTTATATATTATATATCACTGACTCATAAGTTGCAATTTATAAACATGTATAAATTAAATATAAAAAAATATATACTTAAAAATATTGTTGCATTGAACTATAAGTAATTTTTTTAAATTTTCAAAATCCAATGTTCTTCGGTTTGGGATCAGAAATTTCTTATAATTCAAAAAACATCGTTCTACGTAGGTTGGTATGAACGGAGAGTAATTAAAATAAACTAAATCACTTACCGTCAAGTTTTCGGGTAAACCATCTAACAGTTTTCTTTCTCCAGTCAGTAAACCATTTATTATACTTATGGTTTCAAATTCGGTATTTTTTTTAATAACTTCAATGAACTTTTCAATATTTTTTGTGTTAAATATATAATTTTATGTGTACGCATTGTAAATACGATGAATCCGATAATCATAGTATGACGAAACCGATACGATTTTAAAAATAATCAAACTTTTGTTTTGACTATATATATAATAATATTAATAGACAATAAGATACATAAACAATATACATTATTCTATTGAAATTT